ATATCTTTAAAAATGTCAATAGTTAAGAAAGTACAGTGCAATTTAACATAATTAAAAAACGACCTTGTATCTTGTGAACTATTGATATCTTTAAAGATATAAGCTCACCTTGATATTACACTCATTGAGACCTTTCATTTGAGTACCCACATCAATTTTTCATATATTTATATATATTATATATATGTATATATATGAAAAATATATCAAAATGCATGTGGGTACTCAAATGAAAGCTATTGATGAGTGTAACATCGGGATGATCTCATATCTTTAAAAATGTCATTAGTTAAGAAAGTACAGTGCAATTTAACAAAAGTCATTATTTAATAAAGCAAAATTTTATTTATTGATAGTTTATAAGTCATGGCAGTCACATAGTGACTGCAAGGTTGCTAGTTATTATTATTATTATTATTATTATTATTATTATTATTATTATTATTATTGGTACTATGAAATTTTTCTATTAAAAATTTCAAGTTAATACTAATAATAAAAAAATTAATAATAAAAAAAACTCACTTATCATAAATAACAGCATGAAGACCAAGTTTCTTAAGATGCTGAATAGTAGCCTTATCATTATTATCATCTCCCCAACAAAAAATAATAAGCCCGCGGTCTTTAACAACTTTAACTTGAGAAGGATCACGAAGAATGTCCTCAGTATGAACATTGATCCCGAGAATATCAGCAGCCAGAGCGTGTCTCATCGCCATGGGAATAGTCTGACACCGTGGGTCATGATAAGTCGGGTATTTAACAGTGACACCTTGGGTAAGAAACACCACAGGGTACTTGTTCTGCTTCAGCCGAATCATCGAGCAAATGTCTGGGTTGAATGATGAGAAAACTATTTTCCTGTTGCCTCCGTACTCCAGAACTACCTTCAGGATGATATCGAGGTACATGTTCAAATCAAACGGGTGGTTCAGCTCAAAAGTTCCGTCCTAAAAAAATCATCAATTATTCATATTATTATTAATTTTTAAATTTTTAATAAAAATACCTTCAACTGCATAGTCCATTTTATTTCAACGTTACACCCAACATGAGTCTCTAATTCTTGCAAGGCTGCTTGCAAAGTCGGAAAAGGTTGATGTTCTTCAAGATCTTCGTCGAAGAATCGCGGGTTTTTTTCTCGTCCCTCTGCCAGATGATACACCTGTAATTTTTAATTTTAAATTTGTAATTAATTATTGAACATTTATAATTATATAAATGCTCGATTTTTTATGCATCATGCCCTTCATATTTATCGTGCATTTCAATTAAAATTCTCTATTGCATTTTATCGATCTGTCATATATTCAATAAATAGAGAAATTTAATTTTAAAGCAACAAATTTTTTTATAAAAATTTCAAAATTATTTTTATCATTTTTTGCAATAAGCAAAATTTTGATAGTTCAAGTAAAAGTGGAAGAAATGATTGGTCATTTTTTCTTATAAAAAAAAAAAAAAAAAATTATGGCTGATGAAAAATAAATAAAATTTTTTTTTTTTTGAGTAAAAGTGCGTGCATTTGATGTAATATTTCTTGGAAATTTCAATTATTAAGTCTTAAAATATTTTTTGAATAAAAAAAAATTTTCAAACTTGACCTTTATTAAAAATTAATAATCAATTAAGGGAACACTGTGACAGTCGAAAAAAAAGGTGATTGTCGGGAATTTTTTTGACAGGCAAATAAAGGAATTTAGGGATCGGATTTTTTTTATTTTATTAAGGGCACATTAAAGATTATTACCCTAAATTTTTATTAAAAAATATTTAATTTTTACAATGTTATTAACAATCTCGTAGAGCACTAGAAAAAATTTCCCCTTCCATGGTCGCATCGATAACTCAAAAACAGATCATCTGAAAATAAAAACCCAAATTGATTTTTAATCAGTAAGAATGTAGTTATCGTTGCACGTACGGAATTTTGAAAATTTTAATTTTTAAAAAAATGGCGACTGATTGAAAATTTTCTCAGTATTTTTACTTTTTTTTTTTGTTTTAACCCGGCTAAAAAAATCTTTAAAATCAAAATTTTTAAAATTCCATA